GCTGTTCTTGCAGAGGATCTGTGTTCAGTTCCCAATACCCATGTGGCAGTTCACAATCAGCTATAGAATTCCATTTCCAGAAAATCTGACGCCCTCTTTTGGCCTCTTGGGGCACTGGGCACATACATCATACACATATACACATGCAGGCAGAGCATTCATAGACATACACTTTTGTGTAGATGAAATAGTCATGTTATTCACCAGCAATGAGCTTTCTACTTTTGTATACATCAGTTCCACACATTCAACACAAAACCTGTAAGCATATTGGTACCGTGTATCTCTTTATTGCAGTTCATTGAGGCATTTGGAAATCATCAAATACTTTAAAAAAAAATTGAAATCACCCAGGAGTTTTTTCCATCCTAGAAACACAGACTCTTCGGGTGAGATATGATGTTTGCTTAAGCCCCTCCTTAGGAGGCTTACAGGGAGACACTGAGTTTTCTCTTTATAACAAGAAGCAATAAGAAATTGTCTTCTGGAGATAATGTGAGCCATCTGGTCCATGGGACAGCTTCTTTAGGTTCACAGATTCCACCTTATTTTCTTTATATTATTTATTCACAAAGTATTTTCAGGTAGAACACATCTTCCCAACATAAAAGGAACAGAGAGGACCTCTCACTGGGGAGTCTTCTACACTGTGTCCCTTTTCTCGTTATTTTGATTGAGAGTGTACCACAAGATAAACACTTCTGGGCACTATGGATGTAAGGATGGATATAACACACACCATAATCTTAAGACACAGTCTGTAGTAGGAGCATATTTCTAATGTAGTTGCCAAGAGTATAAGCATGGTTTTAAGAGGCTTTAAAACCCAGGCCCACTAGGGAACTAAATCCACCTGGAGCTTCAGTGAAAGCGGCCTGAAATGGGCTTGCAAATCGTGAGTATGTTGATTTCATGAACAGCCCAATCCCGAGGGTTCATCAGTCCCATCTGTTGATGGCACATATTTATTCTTTGGTCTTTTCTGTGTTATAAAGCTCTGGCCATCTTGGACCCAAAGACATATCCTATTGTTAAGTCATTAAGTTTGCTGAAGGATGGTTGTTTCAAAACCACTGGTGTATGTTGTGTACAGAAAGTCAAAGAGAAGCTGGTGTGCCAGGCCATCGTCGGAGCCCAGAAGGGGAAGAGCTTGTTGATGTCCGTGAACATCATCTGCGAGTTTATAGCTCCTCTTATCCAGCTCTCCACCAGGCAGCTCATATATCGACTTGAAAAGGTCAGTGGGGCTGTGCTGGGGAAGGCTGGGTGTTCTAGCCAGAGCCAGCATGCTCATGCTTCCATTTTAGAAGCTTAATTAACTGGCATCCTGTTAACACCTGTCACCAAGACCGTGGTGTTTCCAAGCTTCAGAGGCCAGTACACATTTAACTAAAAATTCCAAAATGTAAACCTAGAATTCTCTGAAACAGAAATCCTGTTTCCATCATTCCTGGTGTATAAGACCAAAGGGAAGGGCTATATCAGTGCAGACCATGCATGAAAGCGTGCAGATGCACCATCATTTTGCCGTAGGTAGAGTAAACATCACTGCAGAGAAAGGGTTGGAATAGAACCAGCAACAATTATAATAATTAGTAATAATGACTACCCCCTACTGATTGCTATTGCTAAGCATCCATGCTCAATTACCTACATCTTGCCAGGTGTCCTTTACAAAAATCTCACCATGATAGGCTCCATTACCATTCTTGTGATACATATAAGGAAGCTGACACATCCCCTAAGATCGCTATGGAATAAGTAACCCATGAGTAGATCATCTGTCCTAAGCTGAAGACTGCACTGGCATTGAAAATCTGGTGAACCAGACAGACACAGTCAAAGCTGAGAGACTGGTTGAAGTGACAGACTGCACACAAGTTAGGGAATACCATTATTTCAATTCCAACGGTAACTGGGTTCATGGGCAGCTCGGGGGCGTGGCCTTGGTTGTACATGTGCTCATCCCAAGTTTACTTCCTTGAGCAAATCCCCCAAGTTGGGATTGAAGTAAAGGTAGAAGCAAGTCTGACGACAAGGGAGGAGAAAAGAACCCCAGGCTGAGGTCTTCTGTTGGAGTAAAGCTCTAGGGCAATATGAGAATTGAAAGGTGACCCAGACACAGAGCAGACCAAGAACGTCCAAAGTCATCCTGGAAAGAGGTCACACCAAGGACCTCTCTTGGAGATGGGGCAGAAGCCAGATATGTTTGGCATGCCTGCTAGACCTGTTCTAGACTTTGGGGTTCATTCTGGGAAGCTGATAAAGGGCTTCAAACATGAAGACAAATGTGGTCATATTTATTCATCAGAATAAATCATTAGAATGTTGGCCGCTCAGCAGAGCATTTATTTATTCAGACTCCTCACGTGCCTGACACTGTCTGATGCTAGCAATACAGCTGTGAGGATAGCTCTTCGCTGGTGAAGCACATAGCCTCCTGGGAAGGCCAAGCATTGCCTAAGTCATTGTCCCATGATCTCTTGCTGTCCTAGGAAACTATGTGTGTGGCTGTGCCTTGGCTGTCACACGGGGGTCAGGTGGGCTTCTTCTGTTCATCACCTCAAAGTTTGCAGGAGGTCACTCAAGACCATTTACCATGGTAGTACATTCCATCATACTTGGTTCAATAAATGTGTTGAACACCCCATGGACAAGGTGTTATGTTAGGGTATGAATAAAGGAACTTTACAAAGTCCAGAGGCTCAGGGAGACATACAAGTTCAATTCAAACAAAAGTTCTGAATGCCTATCATGTACTAGGCACCTATAGTGTACAGAGAGGAGAAAAGATTCTGGCTTTGCCAGCTTGCAGGCCACATGGGCATTTAGTAAGGGTCTGAGGGGCAGTGGAGAAGCCATGAGGCCAGCAAACCCCACACCACACTGAACACAGTCAGGCTGTGAGAGTTCCAGACCTTTCGTTGTAATCAGAAAGCATGTTTATTTATCTATCGGCAAATAGCTGCCCTGAATTTTGTGGCCTCATATTTTCCCTGGAAACAATTATTCTCAGGAATTCAGCAAGGATTTATTGAAAGCTGTCCTGTGCAAGACATTATATGTTAAATATGCAGCCTAGTTTCTTACTCAATTTTCCTAAGCCCATAAACACTCATAGCATATGCAGTCAGTGCTCGTCTTCATCTCTGCGTCCTCCTGCCTGTGGCAGAAGCAGGCTAACATATTCTTGCTCCAATATCTGTTGTTGGAGTTTGTCATTACATTAAAACATTCAAAATACTGAACATGGTAGTAGTTTCTCGTTGAATTGAAAAATGGACTGAGGCCCAGTGAGATGGTTCATCAGGCAAAGGTACTTACCACCAAGCCCGTGGATCTCCGATCAGTCCCTTCAGGGCCCACATGGTAGAACATAACCAACTCCTGCGGGGTGTTCTCTGCTCTCCCTGCTGGTTGTTCCTGCCCATCTTTCTTTCTCCCTAAATTTCAGAAGTTTGAGTTCTCCTCTGTCTTGTTTTCCATCACTCATCCCCCTGACCGTCACTAGAATGTATCAGTAATTTTTCATTTTTCATGTATTTTTCATCAGTAATGATGAAAAATATGTGTCCAAGAGGCCGGTGAGGGTTGGGTATTCAGATTGAATTGTCCAGCATGCAAACATTCTGCCTGCTTGCTGTTGGCCCAGGGCAGGGTGTCCGATGTGGTACATTGGAGTATAAAGATATCAACCCTGCCTGTGGAAAGGGTTTCTCTCTCTTCTTCTCACTCCATCAGCTCTGTGCCGTTTGTATTGTTCATACACCACAGCATCTCTGTAGGATTGAAAGAGCGAGCTGAAACTTTCAGTCTCCTTGCTTCATGAAGTTCCAGCAGCAGATTTTGTCTACTGCTATCTGGGGAGACAAATGGCCTGTAGAGAAGGGGTCATTTTAAAATAGATTGGCTTCTCTAGACTTCGGTTTCTTCTCATCACTAACCTCCAAATGGCCTCATGCCAAAACCAACCAAGTGTGGCTTCTTCACTTCAGAACCATCTGCAGTGACACAGCAGCCTTCAGGGAAGGTCACTACATGGACAGCTCTCTGTGAAGCCTGCTGTTCAGTGGGCCTGAATATGCTGTTTCCTGCTCCAGGAACTGGTACTACAAAGGGAGGCAGTGTCTGTGTTCATTCTTAGAGGAAGAGAACCAAAGGCTGGCATCATGTGACAAGTCCCAGACCAGACTGCTAACATAACCTTGGCAGTCCACGGGAGCTAGTGGAGCACCACCAAAGCAGAAGCTTGAGCCCAAAGATACAGAGCCATCCAAGCCCACTCAGGACCCAGAAAACCCAAAAAACATAATGGGAGGAAGACAGTGTTGGAAGAACAGCTGGAAGATGCAGTCAGAGCAAAATATTAAAGTGAGGCTGGGGGCGATCAAACCAGAGTGAGGAGAACACACAAGCACGTCAAAATGTGGAGACTTTTTAAGGACTACATTATTATTATTATTAATTATTATTACCCCAAAGTGATCAGACTTCTTAAGAGACTACAGATTGAGGCTACTGATCACTTCCTGCTGATGATGCTTAAGGATCCCCTTTTCAGATCACACAAAGATTAACGCAGCCCCCAACATCAGAGTGTGGAAACCCTATTCTGAGCCAAAACATCACACTCGAGATCCATCCCAGCCCCTTCTCTGCTGAACAATGCAGTCCAGCAGGTCTCACGGAGTTAGACAGTTTCATCACCTCTTCCTCAACCGGGGAAAATGCACAGGGAAGACGTATGAGTATTTGCCAATATAACAAGATGAGCATATCTGCAGAGTGGATATTTTAAGCATAAAGGGGGAAATTGCATAAAAGCAAAATGCTTTGTTTTGTTATATCAATTCCTCATGTCTTTCATAAGATATCAGATTTATTAGACTCTGTTCCATGGTGATGTGTCAATGTGGGTAGTGACAGTTTGATCTAGCGGCTGGGTTTCTGTAGAGTTTGTTTTAAATTAAGCAACAAGAGCTTCTCAGAAATCTCTGTTTCCTGGGTTATATAAGCTCATGTTTCAGTACCCTAACATACCTCCTTCTGCTCCATTTCTGTAAACCTCTACCCAGGGAAATAAACATCTCTGTGAAGTTGGAGCAGTGTGTGTGTGTGTGCGTGTGTGTGTGTGTGTGTATGTGTGTGTGTGTGTGTGTGTGTGTTGAGGTCTTTGTTCTAAACTAAAGAGGTTTGTTACTCAGGGCTCATTGTACTTACTGTGACCTGGTTTTGTTTCTTCTTTTTCCCTTTCCTCTTGTCCAGAAGCCCAACACCATCCTGGAGGCCGATTACCAACCCTTGGTGATAAAGAACATCACCACCCTGCCTGTGAGCATGCTGCTTTCCACCACCGGACCCTTCTTCATATGTGACACTGATAAGTCTCTACTGCCTGCAACTCCTAAGGTAACTTGTCAAGGAGCTTGTGTGAAAAGGAAGAGAATAAAAATATGTTGCCTAATTTCAGTCCAGAAAAACAAAATGACCCAGGAAACCAATAGGGAAAAAATACAGAAAATTACAAATAATAATCAATACATTATTACAAGTGTCAGTCCGTGGGAAGACTCATGCATGACATAAGATCTACCAGCCCAGTAGGACAGCCTATTGTCTCCTGCCCATCATAATGAAGTTAATTTGTACAAGGCACTGACTTCCTAAAGTTTCCCTAGTAGGGAAATCCAACCAAAGTCTCTGAAACAAGGAACTGGTCAAGTCCAGTCTCCCAGTAAATAAGCCCATCTTCAAACACTAACAAACTTGATGCAAGTTAAGAGGAAAGGCAGTGAGCCCACCCCTGCTGCAGATCTGAGGCAGGAAGCAGCATCTTCTAAACAGCTCAATGGGTGCTTCTGCTCTACCCCCTCTTCTCTCTCCCCCATCCCCCTCCATCCATCCCTTTTCCCCCCACTCTCTCTGTCTCTCTGTCTCTTATACACATGCACCCCCACACACATAAGCATATGTGCACAAGCACATGCACAAATACACACATACAGATTCGTAGCTATCAGGGTCTGTGTGCAAATGGTCCAACAGTATATCTGGGCTGGATATTTTATAAGGAAATGAGATTTATTTGGGTTCAGAGGTCTGCAGGTCAAGAGCATGATGCCAGGGCTCCATGCCGCTTCAAGTAATAACAGTGAGGCAAGTGGATATGTGTGGAAGGATAGCATGAGAGGCAGCCTTGTTCTGTAACAACCCACTCTTAGAGCAACTATCCTCGTCTCCTCAGAAAAGAGCTCACTCCTAGACTCCATCCCCAGTAAACATCAAATCTCAACATAAGTTTGAAAGAGAGAGAAAAAGTTTTAAATCAACCAATAGCTGCTAATCATTCAAAGATATATAGATATAGATATATAGTTATATAGATATATATATATATGCGTGCGTGCGTGCATGTGTGTGTGTGTGTGTGTATGAATATATGTGTGTGTAAAGTAGATGTGCATAATTTTGACTTTCCTGGATTGTGTATTGAAATGCAAATGTTGGTATCTGGGGTCTGAAGAGATGGTTCAGTGGTTAAGAGCACCTACTGCTCTTCCAGAGGTTCTGAGTTCAATTCCCAGCAACCACATGGTGGCTCACAACCATCTGTAATGAGATCTGATGCCCTCTTCTGGTGTGTCTGAAGACAGCGACAGTGTACTCAAATACATAAAATAAAGAAATATTTTTTAAAGAGTTGGTAACTTCATATTACCTTGTTTACAGCCTATGAAACTGGAGGTTGATGAGGAGAAACACCTCCTGGTCAAGTTTGATCCCTCCTTCAGAAACGACCTGAACAACTGGGTGGCAGAAGAGGTTCTGTCAATTAAGTACCTAGAACACCCTCAGGTGGACAACCTGGGCTTGCGTGGAGAAGTGCATTACCCCAACCTCAGCTTTGAGGTGATGGACATGGATTTCGGCTGCATCCTGAATGACACGGAGGTCATTCGCTACATCATGATCACCAACTGCAGCCCCTTGGTTGTGAAATTCCGCTGGTTCTTCCTGGTGGACGACGATGAAAATCAGATCAGGTAAGCCCCGCCCCATGCCCCCACCCCATCCCTCCACACACACAAGCCCCCACCACCCCCAGGAAGCCCATAGACCTGTTCTGCTCCCTGAGTTATTTTGTGGCTTTCCTCTGGGTTAACTACTCTTTGCACTAGCCTTTCATGAGTATCTTCCGTCTGATAAGTCATCGCTGACTGGAAAGAACAGAATCTAAAACTCAAATTTCCAAACAGAAATTTAAAACCTATTTTTGAAAACCCCATCACCCCTAAAGGTGAGAAGGACAATTTAAACATTTACTTCCTGTTGAAATCTAGTGGCTAGCTCACTAAAAGTTCATCACCAAAAAAGAAGTCACTGTGGTTTTTAACCTATCATTACCCCGAGATGCTCTATAGCAGACTTCCAGAACATGCCGGTTTCTTACCTAACTGAAGCCTTATGCCTGTTGGTACCCACTCTCCTCTTCCCAAACTCAGACAACCACCATGTCAACTCTTTGATTTATGGCTGCTTATAAAAGAAAAATTGATAGCATTGATAAGATATAGAGAAACTGAAACTCTGGGCGCAGGTGCCAGGAAGCCAAAATGACTTGTCACTGTGGAAAGCCGTATAGAGGCTCCTGAAGGAAGTTAAAAACTGGCTCTGGGATGCATCTGAGTGATAAAACACCTCGTCCCGCGTTCTCCCCATGTCGTCACATATTATAGAATCCCCTTCCATAAAGGCCACTGATACTCTTCTCTGCTGTATGTAAATGCTCCGTCTTATTTATACCTTTGTCTTGGCATCTAGGGTGTTTGAAAATCTTATCTTCTGGGAACAGTGCTGCAAGGCTCAGCTCTCTTCGAGATCTTGATTGTAGTCTATTGCACGAAGACTCAAGAGTGAGGTTGCAGGATCAGACTGTGGCTTGATTAATATGCTTACGTTTACTGCTGGGGATAGAACCCAAAGTTCCATGTGTGTCACACAAGTGCTTTAGCACAGAGTTGCTTCCCTTGATCTGCTTTTAAGTTTACAAAGCCTCTGTGCTCAGTCCTGTGGCAGCTTCCCATGGTGTGCCCTGGTGGGAGCACGCTGTGCTGGACACACTAATAACTTGGTCTTTGGAACGGCAGCCATGCTAACAACTGTGAGGGGATCTCTCACTGTGGTCGTGATTTACATTTCTAAAACAATTGATGATGTCAAAGGGTGTGGATGCAATTGTAAGCTATGTGTACATTTTCAAAGAGTCTACATTTTAAACATATCTGTACATTTTAAAGTGTCTGAGTAGACTCTTTGTCTACTCAGATCCTTAACCCATCTTTAAATGGGCCAGTTAATTTTGTGCCTTGGAGATTTGGATTGGTTGTTGCAGGAGTTGCTTATCTGCTGTGGAAATTAGCCCCTGGTCAGTTGTGAAGCTGGCGAGCTCCAGCCCTCTCCGGAAGTGGGCTTTTCAACCTGTTCACCTTTCCCTGTGCTGGGCAGAGCCTTTTCAGTCGAGTGCAGCCCCATTTATCTTTGCTTTTGTTTCATTGGCTACAGAGTTTTCTCTGTGTGTGTGTGTGTGAGTGTGTATGTGTGTGTGTGTGTGTATGTGTGTGTGTATGTGTGTGTGTGTATGTGTGTGTGTCTGTGTGTATGTGTGTGTGTGTGTGTGTCTGTCTGTCTGTCTGTCTGTGTGTATACATGTGTACAGGTGCTCATGCATATGGAAGCCAGAGGACAACCCTGAATGCTATTCTTCAGGCACCACCCACCATGGTTTTTAAAATTAGTTTGTAGTAATTTTTTAAATTAGCTTACAAGGAAAGGGGGAAGTACTATTACAAGGAAAGGGAGATTCTATTATAGTCTCAAAAATGTATCAGCAATGGATAATGTGGAAAAATATGAGATTATAAGATATTTTGTATTCAAAAGAATTAGCTTCCAATAGGTTTCCAGATGGCATGTCCATACATCCTTCATTTTGATTGGTTCCTCTTCTTCCTTACTGCTACCCCCAGTCTCCCTGCCTTTTCCCCATTGTGCCCCTCCCCCACCTCCACTTTGCACTTTTGGTCTTCCCCACCTTCCTCTCATGCAGCCTCTCTCTACTCTGCTCTTACCTGTCCCTTTCCAGTTTCCCTGTTCCTAAACCTGTATTTTTCTCCCACCTGGATATTCACATTTGTTAGAACAGGGGCTCAGATCCACGAATGAGAGGATGAATTCAGCATTGTTTGTCTTCCTGAGCCTGGGTTATCTTGCTTAAAATCTTGTTTTTCCAGTTCTTTCCATTTCCCTACAAATCTCATCCTTCTTCTGCTTCTCTTTAGAGTTGAATAAAATTCCATATGTGTATGCATGCTCATGTGTGTATGTGCATATGTATGTGTATTATGCATGCTCATGTGCATGTGTGTACGTATATGTATGTGTGTATGTGTGTGTACTCAGGGGTATATGTATATATGTATATGTGCATACATGTGTGTGTGCGTGCTCATGTGTGTGTGTACATGCATATATGCACATGTGTGCATGCATGTGTATGTGTGTTCTGCATGTTTATTATCCATTCATCTGTTGGTGGGCATCTAGGGCTGTGTCATTTCCTTGCAGCTATAAGAAAAGAGCAGTAATGACCATGAACATGCAAGATTCTCTGATAGGATGTGATGCCCTTTGGGTATATACCAGGAGTGGTATAGGTGGATCCTGAGGTAATTCAGTTGTGAGGTGGGGATACAGAGGAAGCCTCAACACTGGTGCATTTCCCACAACCATGTCTAAGGCTTCCTCCCCAAGAGCCTTGTCAGCATTTGTCAGCATTTGGTCTCATGGTGTTCGCCACTCTTCACTTGGATGACATGGAATCCCAAAGGATTGTTTAAATATTTATCTATTTTACATGTAGGTGTGCCATGGGCATATGTATGTGCACCACACACACACAGAGATGCCTGCCAAGACCAGGGAAGGACACTGGGTCCCTGGAACGGGAGTTACAGGCAGTTGTGAACTGCCATGTGGCTAAGGGAGACCAAACCTCATTCCTCCACAAGGGCAGCAAACACTCTAAACTGCTAAGCCATATCTCCTGCCCTGCAAAAGTAGCCTTAATTTGTATTTCCCCAATGGAGAAATATTTTGAACACTACTTAAAAATTTATTGGCCATTTATATTTTCTTTTCCTTTTTGAACACTATCTCCTCAGATCAAGGTCCCATTTACTGACTAGCAACTTTGTTTCTCTGGTGTTTAACTTTTTCAGTTCTTTGTATATTCTGGATATACACAGCCTTGTCTGAAACAGGCTGGCATAGGCTATTCTGTCTACTTAGTCCTTTAATGGTTTGGTTGCGCTTGGGCAGGGAGCGGGTGTGATCTGCAGAAACTTTTTTTCCTTCATACAGTCAGTCCCTTTGTCAACTCTTGGAGCAGTTGCCTGTGCTAGTAGGCTTCTCTTCAGAAATCTGCTACCTAGACCCGTGCCTGCAGTGTTAGTGTTTCAAGTTTTAAATCAACATCTCCGATCCAGCTTGAACTGATTTCTGTACCGGATGCAATATGGGTCTAATTTCCCTCTTCTGCAGGCATCTGTGTCTTCTAAGACAGTCTCCCACCTGCCTGGAGCTTTCCAAAGAGGCTAGGCCGACTGGCCAGTGAGCCTCTGGAATACATCTCTTAACACCTTCCCAATGCTAGGATTGCAGGCATATGCCACCACACCAGGCTTTTCATGCGGGTTCTGGGTCTCCATACTCATATGCAAACATTTTACCAACTGAGCTTTAGTCTTCTGCCCCTAGAGTCTTATTTTCCATTTTATTTACTTTGGGGGGTGGGGTACACGCCATGGCATACATGTGGAGGTCAGGGTATAGCTTACAGGAGTCGATTCATCCTTTTCTGTGAGTCCCGGGGATCGAGCCCAGGTCAACAGGCTTAGCAGCAGGTCCCTTTAACTGATGAGCCATCTTACTGGCCTCCAAAGTTGTCCTAATAAGCGTGTCGAATGAAACATACGGAGTATGCACTGAGTGTACAAGCCCATTGAGCTTTTTGTATTGCTTGTTCCGAGTGTTCAAATAGGTTTCTGTTCTGGTACATACCTTCTTTATGCCTAGGCATGCACAGAGTTAAAAAATAGTAGAAGATGGTGACCATTTTCTTAGTCTGTGACAATGACTGATGAAGTAATGGATATTTCCTTCCTGCATGTTTTGACAGCTGTGGACAGTGCACAGCCACTCTCGCTGAGGAGACCTCTTTTTATGTCCTTAGTGGCTTGTCAGTGCTTCCAGTACATAATCCCTATCTTATACATGACAACGGCCCTTTTCTTGCCTGTGCTTGTTACCATGGTAACGATGGCTTGCTCTGGACGTCTTCTGTAGACATCTAGCAATGACCCAGTGTCTCATTGAAGCTGGCAGCCAGTCCTGGGCCTGAGCCTTGGAGCCTGCTCATTAAATGCCATGGACTGTTTGGGTTTGGAATAAAATTCTGTAGATGAACATTTAAAATAATTATGGAAAGAATCAGCCAACCTGACCTAACGCACTCAGCATACCAGATTTCGTGAAATTATTCTGATGTAGCACAGCTAAATGAGCCAGTTCCATCTGGGAGCAAGGGCACGCCTTATTTATTTTTTACTTTTTGAGAGGCCATTTCCATAATTAAAATAATGACATTTTGAAAATGTGCTTGGCCAGTGCTGAATATGATACATTTAATTTTTCATTGGCTCAAGCATATATTTAGCCATTTTCTTTCTCTCTCCAGTATCTTCCTGTGTCTTAATATAGAGTCTTTGCTTATAATTCATTTGTTCATTCAATCAAAGAGTTGATAAGAAATTCAGATGTGACGTTAGGGAGGTGAACATGAATGAACAAGACCCGGCCCTCCCCTGAGGCTAGTCAGGGAAACAGATGTGGAAACCCTAGAAGACACATGGATGTAAAGCTGCACTTGTAAGTCACAGAGACCCGGACCTTGAGCAGAACTCAAAAGACGGAGCCAGGATCGGTC